ACTTGAACTGAAGGATAGTTCAAAGCAGAAGACTTAGAGTCGTAGATTCATGCTGGTTATATTCCTGAAAGTACTCGCTACAATTTCTCTTTCAAAAATCCCATTCTAGTTGAGCATCTTGTATGAAATAGATGAAAACGTTTCAATAATCTTAAAAAATAGACTTTGAATTTACTATTTTTTTAAGTACCTCTCCTTGCAACCTATTCCATATTCTTTATGAACTTTGAAGAGCCAATTTAAATTTTCATTATAAAAATATATCAGACGAAAATAAGATTTTTAAATAGCAATCAGATTAAGAAAAGAAAATAAAATCTATAGCATCATGATGTATAGAATAAAGGAGGAACATTTTAACTTTTCTTAATATGAATAAACCTAAATAATATTGGATGCACAATGTAGCATGACTTGTTTTTCAAATTTTTTTATGTATGTGACAACTAATGAAGACAACATTTCACACGAAGTATGCTGTAAGCTACATTTTCACTCGTGCCATTTCATTCTTATTGATTTCAAAATTTACACTTTCATTCAGATTTGAGTGTTGCTGGATGCAAAAGGATAGTTGGATTGGTGTTTGTTTCTCAAGCCACGTCGAGAAGATTATAAAGCTGTCATTCTACAAACTTTAAACCTAAAGCAAGTCTTATTGCATGGTAGATAACTGCGGTAGAATCTATTCTTGCTAGTATGCTTCTTTGATGGACTTAATTGCTTGATTATGCACAAGCTAGGGAGGTCTTCAAGAGGCCAGATGCATTTTGTCTTCCATGAATTCTCAGTGGCCAAGCTTATAACTCCTTCTGACCTCTCAATTCAAACTGCCAAATTCCGTCAGCTATATACACTATAATATCAGAGTCCCCTACTATGTGAATCTCTCATGACACCTCATCATCCACCAGGATATTGTAAAGGAATTTCGACTATCGTTGCAGATAACTCTAAAAGTTCACAGAAAAGCTTAGGTCCAGTCAACGAACCTTATCACCAACCTGGAGAATAATAATCAAATGAAGAATTCGATCACCAAAGGAAAGCGAAATAAAATTTATTAAAGTTTGCAAATTCATCCAAGTGATCCCAAATCCATGAACCCGAATTCGTCTCTCCTTGCTTTACATGAGTGCGGGGTAGGCACTTGGCCCACATGCAAAGGAAACAATAGAGTGTAAGGAGAAACAATAGAGTGTAAGGAGTATCTGGCATGTGTATCAAGTCGTTGACTCCGACATGTGAACTTTGATATCTATAGTAGAACGATATCATTGCGAGATGTCTATATTCTTCGCCACTGTTACCTTCATGCCATTCTCTTGTCTACGGGATGACATAGAGCAGAATAAAAGTCAAGATTTTACGTCCAAAAGCCTAAGACCTATAGTCAATGATTCACTGCAGTAGAGATGATACAGTTACTGGTTTAAATTCTGGAACTTCGTGAAGCAACAACATCCGACTTTATCTGACCTTTATGCGAATCACTAACCATTGTCCACTAATATCAGTACCATATGTGGGTGAAGATGAGCTCTCGGAATGGTGTACCATGTCGAGTAATTACGATTGCTGTAATGTCGTCTTCTTCAAAAATCATTTGCTTCTGCCCTTTGATTCACTCAAGACCTTGTAAATATACACAAGAAACCAGAGATTTTAGAAAGATTTCGGATTAAACCTACAGGGAACTGTCGTACGTATTCAGTTGTTACAAAGCGTAGTGCCAAATCTAGCCTTACAAATCTATTAGTTAAATCCATCACTGTCAAGTCTCAGGAGATATTATGCTCCTGTTATAGAAGATGGAGGATCTCTTGCATCTATCTTCAAGGTACCTCTGAAGAACATCTTCCGCTTGGGGTGAATCGTGAATTGTTGTTATGCAACGAGACGAAGAAAGTGCGGGTCATCATCCGAACCTTATTATTTCGTTATTCCTTTCATGACGTTGAAATTGAAGATTTTGCAGATGTATAACGTACTATGATGAAGGCCTGCTTTTCCGAGCCTTTTTTCAAAGTTATTCAGGTAGAAATGTTATACTTAAAAGAGCAGTTGTACACATTGGGTCCCATCGCTTGTACCCGCTTTTTCAGTAAAGGTCGGTCAGAGACATCAATACGTCTGTCGAGTCTTATGTATGGGAACGTATTTCCAAATTTATTGACGATTTCTATCCACCGAACGCAAGGATAACACCTTCAGTTGGATAAGAATAACATCTAATATAGTTCTGTATTGTTTTTCTAAAAATATTGAAAAAATATGGTGGATCCCATCAAGTTCTACATGGTTCGAACCAGTTGAGGAGTAGGATGAGACTAAAGTCCAATCACATTGCAGTAATAAACATGTTAATCATACAAGATATATTTTATATATATACATTTTTATCTACTAAGATATTTTCTGAAAAATCAATGTCATTTCTCACGATGAGAATACATCAGCTAGAGTTCACTGTAAAGGTATAGATACATGTCGCCCTAAAAAAGCTAAAGAATTGAAAATCTTCAGTAGGTTGTCAAGGTTTCACAATCAGGCCAAAGTTGTTATGCATAGAACTGTATGATTTAAACGCTAGGGAGAAATAGAAATGACCTCTTCGCCAAAGTCTGTACTCCTGAAGAATTTTGAAGCTTACACTCCCTTTGCTCGATCTACTAAAAAGGTTAGTCATTATCCTATTCATGTTATTATTAAAAAAATTTCAAACCCTACCGCTTAAAAATTACTTGATTATTTAACATGCATGGATGAAAATTAATGTTAGTCAAATTCACATCCGTATAACATAAGCATCCTTCTAATTATAGGGGCACCATGTGTATAATTTGATCTGCACCTAGAAATAGAAACAAGCCATACGAATTCATTTTGCAAATAAAGAGATAAGAATCACATTTCAAATCTCGATATCTTAACCTTCAGCCTACAAGTTACAACTCCATATCAAAATAATCGAAGGATATTACATGAGCAAGGCAAATGTTTTTTGGCAAAAGCCATATATAATAGTATTTCTTCTAGTGTTGAGACTGATTCCCGACTACTTATTTATTCTCCCATCACTCCCGCGACTTCACTAAAGGGGTAGAGAGAGGAGTGACATGCCTGGCAGAAGATTTTTCAGCCACATTGCAGAACAGAAAAAGCTGTGTTTCAGCATTCTTCCCTTTGTTCCGAGTGATATACGTGACGTGTGATGAGAATAATCTGGAATATACAGTGAGAGAGTCCAAAGTCACCATAAGACGGAGATAATCTCAGAAACGGATGCATGTTCCTCTATGATCTTTTTACTTTGATATTCGGTGCACATTTCTCCTTGATCCACCTGGAAGATTTCCTTATGCTGCCTCCATGATGACAATCGGCCCGTCGCAGCGTGAAATCCCTAGAGATCCGATTCGATGAGAGACTTGAGCCCTAAGTCGAAATAGCTAAATACTCACTATAGACGACACAGAGTTTTATTTTTTATTTTACTGGTGCTACGTGACATCCACACCAGTTGACCTCGACAGTTTGGACAAACTTACTACTCGGGGTCCTCCCCGATCTTTTTTCTACAATACTCGCTTTCACCTTTAGACTTCCCTCGCAACTAGACCCAGATATGTCAGTGGGACTTTTATACAGTGTCATGTCATAAATGGAATGCTCTGGGCCTTTAATGAAGTAAACGGCAGCACTTGCTTACTGTGCAGCATCATGATAGTCCGCCGAAGGAGCCAATCTTAATACAGAACATAATAGCCTTTTATCGATTCGAATATCCAGACATTAGAGCCTCGACGTGCTCGGCGTTCCCAATTCCGGGCCGGGGCCTTGGATCTGAACCCCTGCTGAGCCGTCGGCGAACGAAGCCCTCTGAAAATCTGATGATCCCTTGAAACGCCACCCGGCCGGGATGCGATGCTCTGTAAAGGGCAATTTTGACCTCGGTTTTTTTTTAAAATCAGTCGCGAGACCAATGGATCGTAATGGTCATTCCCCGATGGATCGTAATCGTTTGGTTTCATCCATCTGCTGTTGACCGGATCTTCTAGGTTCCTTTTTCCCGTTGAGAAGCATCCATTGCCTGCCTTCCCGCTTCCTCGGATCCTCCTCCACGCGTTAACCGGGAGCGAGTTGAAATCACTCCTTTGACTCCATCCCAATGGTCCCGACGACGACGCCGCACTCGGTCCAGTGGCTGGTCACCGGAGGTCAGTCACAGTGATGAGCGTCAACCGACTGCGAACCGGCAACTGCGTGGCCTGACAGCAGTCACCGCGACGGGGCTCCCCCCGCGAGTTGACCCGATCGTCGCCGGTCGACGGGTCGGGCTGGCCCCGAGCGCGGCGCAAAGTCGCGACGGGCGGACCGAGCAGTACGCGGATTGGACGGCCGTTTTGTCGGAGCCCGGGGAGGCGTAGCAGGGGTGGTAACCGAACCGACCGGCTCAGAGGCGACGCATGGGGGCAGGCGGGTGGCCCTTATAATAGAGCGCGCGCGAAGCGTAGGGCCGGGGAATCAGAAGGGGGCAATCGGGGAAGGGCTTACGGTCTTACTTGCAGTGGGGGGGAGCAAGGGACGGGCTGGACGAGACACAAAAGGAGGAGCACGCACTTGCACATTGAGCCTGCGCACTCTTGAGGTTGTGCCAGAGGCCACACTCGGAGGGGGGGAAGGTAGGGAGAATTCTGTGTGCAATTATCCGCCCGGCAGGAGCTCACTGTTAGTTGCTGTGGAAGTCGCGCACCTGCGGCTTGTTCCCTGCGAGCGAAGCAGCTGAAGAATTTCCTGAGTGTTCGTCCACCGGAACAAAGAAGATTGCGCGCAGTGATGACGATATATATATAATGCAGCGTGGGGAGGTATGGAAGGCTGACTTCGTGTAGTGCTCGAGTCAGCAGATATTTCTCTGCCGTGGGGAAAAAAAAAGTTCGGCAATGTGACTGCCAGCTTCAGAGATCTGAAGCTCGTAGGTTCGAGAAAAATTAGAAACCTGCGTATTCCACTGGACTTCCGCTCGGAAGATAAAAACTTACTGCCGCAAAGCGAGGGAGCAGTTTCAGTTGACAGAAAAATTTAGTCGAGGACCGACTCGCCGATTCAACTGACACCGCGGAAGCCGGTGAAGGCCTGCATCACGAGAATTCGCCTCGAACAAATCTAAGCACTACAATTTTGGGAAAAGTAAATTTACAGAGAGGATGGCGGGAGACGCTAGTGCCGACGCGAGGAGCTTGGAATTCACTCCGACATGGGCCGTCGCGACTGTTTGCACTGTTTTTGTTGTGATCTCGTTGATTATCGTGAAAATTATCGAGAAGGTGGAAGAGGTGAGATCTCTCAACAATCTTCTCAGTCATCTTCTTCCCATCGGTCTTGCTTTTCCACTGTTTTCCACGTCTTATCCCGTGCCAGTTCTCCAGCACTAGAGCATATGGAATTCTGTCAGAGGGTCTTATTACGTGCCAGTTCTCCGACACTAGAGTCTATGGGATTCAGTCCCAAGGCAGGGAACGAAATTCCCTGCCTTGGGACACTTGGAGACGACACCAATTTTTCTGCTTCGAACCCATTGGAATGGAGCTTTGAGGAACTTAGGCCATTGAGGCGAAGCGCGATAGATGGGGTGGAGGCATACCTCCTAAAACAGATAAAGAATCACGTCATTAGATTCAAAATGGGTTCTGCGACTCTTCACGTGTCAGTCCGAGTCGCAGTCGGCTTCCGTCAAATTGGAGAGAATTCAGGGTCTCATCCGCTTCAGAAGGCGTAGAGACTCTCAGATGAAATCCTCATAAATGCTTTCAAGCTTTGGGTCCCCTGGATTTCAGCTCCTTTACAGGGATGGCTGCTGTCGGTAAAAGGGGCGCCTATTCGAGCTGTTGCTGTCGTAATCGTAGTTTCAATTCTTCAGTTTCTGGTGGATGAAATCAGAGCCGGTCCTTGATTTAGCCCGGCGATCTGCCTCACAGATGCAGTCTCTGACCTTGCGGCCACACTGGCCTCATCAGTCTTGTAGCACTGCTGGAATTCTGTGACTCGCTAATTACAGTTCAGATAACAGTCTTCTGCTGAAAAGTACGGGTGACAGATTTTCTCCAAGGCGTGAACGTGGTCAAGGTAGAGTTTGTCTTAGGAGATTACAGCTTCACCCATTTGAGGGGTGGGATAATAAGTACCTCGACGTCGGCAGAAAGCAAACAAAGTTTATTTCTGGGGACGAGTAAGATTGACGGGTTTTTTTTTCTCCTCGCAGAATCTCAAACATGGGAAACGAAAACCACTCCTGCAAGCCCTGGATAAGATGAAAGAAGGTAAGCAGAATTTCCATTTTCCGATGCGTTTCGCTAAGAGAATTATATTGGTCTTCATCAGCTGGAATTGTAAACGTGGGGTTTCATCGTTTACTGATCTGCAGATGACACTTGTGGATTTTGCAGAGTTGATGCTTCTGGGATTCATCTCGCTTCTACTGACGGTGTTCCAAAATTACGTCGCCAGTATTTGCGTGAAGTCATCTGTTCTTGAGAAATTCACACCCTGTCATCTGTCTGACAAAAAAAAGGCCTATTCGGAAACTCCACCAGCGAGCGAATCTCCACCAGCGAGCGACGACACGGCCCACAGAAGACTTCTCGAGTATCTGGCGGATTCTCTGATCGGAAATGAATTGGAGCCTCCCGTCTGGCGAAGGGAGTTGGCCGCTGCCGCTCCCTCTTCTTGCCCTGCAGTAAGTATCTAAACAATTCAGATAATACAGAACCGTTCGATCCTCAGTTGTTTTGCCTTCACAGTACGGTCGCTCTGGTTCTCAGCGTGGCTTTGAGATGGACCAATCGTGAGGATGAGAGAACGGTTTGGAATTGGATGACTAGTCTGATCGGACATTTGTTCCTGCCGTACTTTTTCTCTCGGCTTTGACATTGAGTATCACAAGAGTGCTCTATGCCAAATTAATTAGAGTTCATTGCAATGGGAAAGTTCCTGCTGCCCTCTAGCTGGAAAGACCATGGTCTTTCAAAACGTCTGACCGTGACGTGGATGGAATTGTAGGGCAAAGAGTCATTTGTGTCGACGACTGGACTGCATCAACTCCACACCTTCATTTTTGTACTGGCGGTTGTACATGTGGTCTACAGTTTGATCGCGATGGGTCTCGCCATGGCCAAGGTTTGTTAAATAAAAACTTCTGTTTCTCTCTGCAGGCAATTCACTTTAATCAAGTCCATTTCTTGCAGATGAATTCCCTTCTGCTCACTTGTGAAGTCTAAAGGAATCTCGTGAAACGCGTTTTGGCATTCGAACAGGTCAGGAGTTGGAGTGCTTGGGAGTTGGAGGCACATAGCAACACTCACGATGACTTGACAGGTGAGGCCTCATGTGGGTTGAAATTGCTCGTTTACAAGTCAGGGTACTGGCGATCTGTCGTGTCCTAATACTGGTTGCTTTCGGGGTCACTTACTTCAGAGAGTTGATGGTGATATCTTCATGGACCTTGGAAGAACCTCGCTCGCTAATTTTGTTTCAGTATTTTGTATTATTGAGGCTTTTCAAATAATCTTCAGCTCCAACGGAGAAAAAGTCCAGGATAGAAAGCTAACTGCAGTTTGCTTTTGCAGAAATCACTAAGACGCTTACCATGAAGCGTCAATCTACTTTTGTTACATATCACACATCGAAACCCTGGAGCAGAAATAGATTCTCAGTTTGGATTGTAAGTTGATGTTCTTTCAATCGGGGATGCTATGTCTGTTGAAGCTTAGTTCAATGTTGACCCGAACTTTCATTTTGGAGTCTTTACGAACTGTTTTTGCAAGAAACTGTAAACTCGTTCTTATTTGTAAATTCTGAATGCTGGCAGGTTTGTTTTTTCCGACAATTTGGTATCTCTGTTACACGAGCAGATTACCTTACTCTTCGCTTGGGATTCATCAAGGTAATGCTCTTTGACGTCATGCACTGACATAAATGCTAGGGGCAAGTACTTCCCCTCCTTCTTAGGCGTTCGCAGCATGGTTGGATCCCGAACGAAGTTAAGATATTGAAAACAAACCTGTATGTTCGCAGAATCACAACACAGGTCACAAATTCAACTTCCACCAGTACATGATTCGTTGCATGGAAGACGAATTCAAGGAAATTGTGGGAATCAGGTAAGCCCAGCTGCGTTTCTCTTCATGTGCTGAAATGTAGAACACCTACATTGAGCGTTCGCTCTATGCCAGGTTTAGAGTTGATAACTCAGTATCGGTGTTTTAGAAGGCATGCTTTCACTTCAGATGCAACCTATGGCACCCCAAATTTCTCATTAAACATACTTTGTCTCCTTGTCGACAGTGCTTGGTTATGGGCTTTCGTGGTGGCCTTTTTGCTCTTCAACGTGAATGGTGAGTTCCGACTTCTCAACTTTTGTTTCCAAGGACCCTTTTTCAGATTAGTCACGTCATGAAACATGACTAGTCAATTCTGATGATCGCGAGTAAGTTACGGACAGCATGTCTAAAACCTTCGGTCTTCATGAACGAGGATCTTGCGATCTCACTGACGCTCCGCTGCCGTTTGCAGGGACGAATTTATATTTTTGGATGTGCTTCATTCCTGTTGTGGTAAGTTCGACATATTCTGTTGCTAAGTTTATGTCCGTTGCAGATCATGAAGCTCAATTTAGATCAAAATGTGGAAGTGCTTCCCTACTCTTGCCATACATTTTGTATTATCAACATTTTTGGTGCTTTGAGGGATATTTATTCCATAGACTACTCTTGTTAAAATCAGATCGTTTCTTCTGTCATTTCTCACTTGATTTTAACTGGATTCCTCTGCTTATCATCGTACAGCTGGTCATCGTTGTCGGCACCAAGCTTCAGCATATCATTGCAACACTAGCCTTGGAGAATGCAATGGTCAAGGGCCCCCTTCCGAGCATCCGGCCTCGAGATGAACTCTTTTGGTTTAAGACCCCGACGCTGCTTCTCAAGCTGATCCACTTTATATTGTTCCAGAATGCATTTGAACTTGCAACCTTTATCTGGTTTTGGGTGAGTGCCTACACCGCACCGTTCAATCAAGTTGTTTGTCTAACAAGTAGCTCTGAGTGAAATGTCACTCATTAAGTCTAATCTACCTCCTCATGACATATGAAGATAGTTGATAGCTTGAAATAGTATCGGACTAAGTCAGCGTATGAAGTGATGAAAGTTGCGTAGATTTGACTCTCATTGTTATGCGACCGTGAGCATTCTTGGGTTTAAGCTTCTAATTGTTGTGCTTTCTTTTGCAGTGGCAATTCGGATTCACTTCATGTCTATTGGAAAATAAGACCTACGTCTACATTCGAATCGGACTTGGGTACGTGAATTTCTCATACCGTAAATTATGTATCTGACATAAAGGACAGAATTATGGAACACGGTTCTCGGAAGGTAGTTTGTTAGACTGACGTAATCGTGAGTTGAAGTTCAGAAACTTGACGATCACCAATGTCATTGCTGACCTTGAGCTCCCACCGATGCAGGGTGTTGACCCAGATTCTGTGCAGCTACAGCACTCTGCCTCTATACGCCCTTGTAACCCAGGTGACTATCAGACTTCTATTGAATTCATTCAATGGTATTTGAATTGCTTCGTAATTTGTCAGTCTGGTGGTCTACCATCTGACCAAATTCGACGGGATCCTGTATCGTTGGTTATTGTCAGCGAGTCCGAAGGTTACGGTTTGAGTAGGGTGACGGAGCCGTGAGATACAGATTTGAATGTATGGCGTCACCGTTAAGTAGGGACAAACTGTTTTCTCGAGAAGAGGTGGATAAAGGTTTTAATATAGGTTTATCCTTTTTACAGATGGGATCTCACTACAAGCATTCCATCTTCCAAAACGATGTCAAGGAGAAGCTACATAACTGGAGGAAGGGAGCCAAGAAGAGAGCTAAGTTGGGCACCCTTTCAGAAGAGAGTTCGTATGCTGGGGATGACAGTAGGGACGGAAATTCAGGAGCGGGATCCATGACACCCGAAGAAGGGTCCGTTCCCCATGAAAGCCGATTTGATCCGAGAACCGGAGAACAGATGGCCAGAGAAGCACAGATGGCCAGGGAGTATAGCATGCAAGATGAAGGATTAAGGCATCAGAGATCACAATCGGAGTCAGTTGTTACCCAGCAAGTGCCGGGTGATATAGAGATGCAGCAACCAGGTTCTGAGAAGAAATTCTTAAGGACACTCTCCCAGTCCTTGCTTGGTAGCAGGCAAAGCGATGACTCCAAATTGCCCTATTTCAAGGCGTTTACCGTCCAGGTTGATAACAGCCCCCCTGATGGTCGTCAAGGAGGTTCGAGCTACACACCCAAGGGTCCTGCCAAAGAAGGTATACAGTTTCAGCCATATATCTAAGCCTACCGCTATTACCTCCATTCTGAAAACATGAAAGAGCAAAGCAAGCACGCACGCACTTTCTGTCACATCTTCGGAGCTGTTTATTGCCTCTTGAGTAAGTGGTTCAGATTCTTGGTTACTATTTCACCCACACCCTGATGAGGCCCGGTCGTGAGCAGCTCTGCGCCAACTACTTGATACTAGGGTTGCATCAGGACACGAACGACATGGAACTATGAAAGCAAGAGTGCATTCTAGGTGTCCTTACCGAACGTATCATAGTGCCCTATGAGAAAGTCATTCTGAAGCCTGCAAGCTTCGCACTTCCAGAATTTTCACAGAGAAGTATCTGCTCGGTAGATGTTGAGTCGAAGCTGTCCATACTGTAAAGCAACCTTGACAACACTGGTTCGCTCTGTGATTAGGACAAGATATCTCTCCTCTTTTTCCTTGGCACCGGCGTAAGTGAAAAAGCTCTGTCTCCTGAAGGGACATTTCAGAAGACAGATTTAGTTCACTTTTGCTCAAGGAAAGCCAACACAGTGCATAGATGCCACAGTCCGCAGATTGTGCTCATTGTGCCTGAATTTATGAAACTGTGGGCGAGTTGAGGAGACACGGATCTCGGACGGATGGGAAGTAATGTACCTGAGAACAATGGATCGCTGTCAAGTTTATTGACTCGTGTAGATGTTTACATCAATAGGATTTCGTAGGAGTTTGTCTCGGCAGGATCAGTTCTTAGACAGATTGTTAGTGACGCCCTCTGTAGATATTTTGCCGTCCTTCGAAGGGGACCATTTTCGACCATTCAGAGAAAGGATGTCAGACCATGTCTCTGACACTCAGAGCTTACTTCGTCAGAGATTTGGTTAGGCTCTCACGGCAACTTAGTTTGTACCCTACATGTCCAAAAGCATGTCAGAGAGAGATGTGTGTATGATTCTCAGTTCTTTGCTTCCTTGCAAGATCAGCGATTGATTTTCGATTGTAAATTACAATACCAAGCACTTCGTTTCCTGTGGTTGTCATTTTGAGATCGAATGAGCGCGAACTATCTTGTCTGCAGTTTTTGTTTTCTCCGAGATCTCTTCCTGTTTACTGCCTATTCATTCGGTGAGCTGGACTCAATGGTAATATTACTTTCTACCTCGTTGCATCCCTGTAAACCTGATGTGTCGATGAGGAGATGTTCACATACGTGAAAAACGGCGAAAGGAAGAAATGTTTTTAGCGACCGTGAAGAGGTGCAACTTGCCAACGCCGGTGGGCCCCCAACTAAGAAAGAGTTTTCCCGCATCTTTCTACAAACTTGTGAATGATTACGACACATTTCTGCCGTTCACTTTTTCTAAACCAAACATGTTCACACATCAAAAGTGGAAAAATGGACGCACGGATGTGAATCTTCATCAACCTGTCTGAAGTTACCACGTTCAATCGAGTGCTCTATTACCCGTTACTAGTAATCCGTACCTTTACTCAGAGACCATCCAGAGAATTATGACACTTCATTATGTGGTAAAGGTGTAAAACGTTTCCCACATACTTAGAAACGAAGAAACAGTCTCAGACAAATACAAACTTTCAAGTCCATACCATGTCTGAATCTATGTTGTTTGCACGGGAGATATGCCGTCGCCTCACCTCCACCATGTGGCTGTAGGGCCTGCATACTGGCAACAGTAGAAAACTTACAAGCCGTGTCTCGGTTGTACAATACTCTAACGGAATGGGAATGATCAGAGCACAGTCTCTATTACCTTCAGACAAGTCACAAAGTGTAACCAATAGGGGTGCGCATGAGCATGATCGAGGAGTTCTGATATTTCATGCCTCGGGACGAGAAGGTATAGAAGAGACGGTCCAGTGGAATTTCTTCTTCACTTTTTAGGTGCTCTGTGCGCAGCACGATGACGGCAGAGCTACGTCAGCTTGAAATTGAGCACATCTTTACATCCTTCGGACAAAGGAGATGAGTACAAGAAGGTGGACTGCCACGGAGGAGGAAAAAGGTAAGAGCGTCCGGGATGGAATGGCTCATGCTTGTGAGGGTTACTCATGCCATTGTGACAGTCAGCCAGCCAGCCAGCCAGCCATTTTGCTGAGAATGTGAAGCGCAGCAAGTACAGCAGCCTCTCTTTGAGATTGTCGGCTGGAATCGTTCGACATGTTCATCTTTCATGATTCTCCATCCTCCCCGAGTGCAGCGCGAGATTTTTTTTGTCTCGTATCCGAATTCAGCTCGAAAACGTTTCTCCTGCGCGGTTCAAACAGCCCAAGTCTGAATACGATCAATTGCCATGTGCAAGTCTTAGAATAAAGAGGAGGTCCTCTGACAGTGTACTTCACCAAGAGAAATCTGTTGCCAAAAGCAAGCCACCAGCCGAAGATAGAATGGAAGAAAAAGACCACAGATCACTAGCCCACCTGGAAAAAAATAGAAAGAACAAAAGCCAAGGATCGGTGGCAGTAGCGTGACGGATTTGAGGTTTTATTCTTGTCCCGAGCAAGTCGTGTAAATAATCTGCGAGCCTCTTTAAGCGATCCGCCGTGGTCATATTTTATCAATTTGGGCGTGATTCCTGAAGACAAAGCGTAAGAGTGGGGGAGGGGGACGGCGAGTACCAGGATACGTACTAAGTATTTGGAACCTAGACGCCGGAGCAAAAGATTGTTACTTTTGAATAATTGTATGTATGGTTGTCGAGAGAAGTATGGCGGCTACATGAAGACAGACATATCAACTAGTGAAGGTGGAGATGCATGCCGGCAGTCCACTGGGGTCATGGAGCTCGAGTATAATCAGTGAGCTCATCGAGTGTGATTGTTCTCGATACATGCATATGAACCTGAGAATCGAAAGGTGCTCGGAGGAGCGTTGAAGAGATGGCTAAATTGACAACGAAAAGGCAAGCCCGGCTTTATATTCTACATGATCAATTCGACTGGAACTTGTCCTCCTTCCTCCTTCCTTTCCATGACCGCCGCTCCGAGCTGTGGGCCTCCGAATTATGGCCCATAATTTCCAATGGCCTGCATGTATAGTACGCAGTAGAGACAAGAGCCACTCTGTCTGCTCCTTTGCAGCACGGTTTAGCTTGACCCCAGGAGGATCAGGCCTCGAAAGTGAGCTTAGAAGGATTGAGTGAGATTAGCTTCACTTGCAAATGGACTGACACATTCACTGATCCAGTGAATCGAGAAGGAAAGATGGAGGTCTCTGTCTCCTCTCTATCCGTCCAGTGTCAGCGCGTTCAGGAAAGATCTGGCGATGGCAATTATGCCAAAGCTCATCAGTGTCGGCCACTTTTTCAGCAGGCTGCAGGACAAGGTTATTCTGTTATTCCTCTCTCTTACATGAATGAGTATAATAAACCCAACGTGAGGAAACTTGTGAGCTAGTTCTAGCTTGCTCTGATTACTGCAATCAACTGGCGGAAAGGATCGGTAGGATGGCGGACTTGCTCTGAAACAAACAGATTAGGGAAAGGAAAAATCGAATTTACGGAAGAACTTTCCCCAGCTTCTGTCAGGAGGAGGAGTTTTGGTGAGCTAAAATAATCAGATTCCCATCACGAGTACCGTAATGAGCCATCCAGCATTACATCAGCATTTGAAGAAGGGTCCGATTTAAGAATAGCGCTCCACAAGTACTTCTGTCTGCTGAAGTCACGACTGGAATATGCATTATTCGAATCTGACTCTCGACTGCTCTTCTGACACTGAGCGAACCTAGATCCATTTGGGAAAATTGGTGACATAGAGATGAATATGGTCCTCAAGCTTGTCTTCTATCCTGGTCGGTCAGACGCACACCACAGAGCCCATCATTTGAAATCTCAAACGATGGCTGCTCTTCAAGCTTGAACCCTCCTTCCTGACCTAGCACTTGGGAGAGCTCTCGGATATCACACCGGAATGAGGAAACTGAGGGAGGGACGGGGTCGGATTTGGTCTGCCGACGATTCGTTTCTGCCAGGAACATGGGCTGAACTTACGAGAAATAACTTTCGGAGCTTTCCTCGAAATATACAGGAGATAGCTCTTGAGCTGCCAATTGCGACAAAACCTGCCCACTAAGAAGAGAGCAAATCAAATTGTGTACTAAAGGAAGATGTACCGCTCTACATGTCGTAAGTTCGTGGTATCGCTCGAGAGGGCAATCGACAGCAGAGCTTAGACCTTTTGTGATGAGATTTGGGATGGTCTGCGGTGGACTACTGTAAAGCAAAAGCAGGCTCTTCTGATTGTAAAGTACAAGCGAAGCAAGATGCAGGAAGGGAACGAAGAAGGAGAAGGGAGAGGAGGAAGAAGATGAAGGGGGTGGAGGACGAGGGGGAGGAAGAATGAAGTGAGGAACAAGTTAGCCCGATGCAAATCGAGAACTCATCAGCATTTTTTGTCGAGTCTCGAGCCATAAACAACACCGATCCTTGCTCCTCAACGAGCACATCTTTGAAGAATAATGACCATCATTGCAAGCCATCTTCGGCGGTGGTGGGCACCGAGCAGAGAGAGAGAGAGAAAGAGCCTCATCTCATACGTACGATTCATCATTATTTTAAGAACAATGTTCGTCACACGCTACGATATACGCTACGCTGCACGGACCAATACGAGCTGCTGCAGACTGTTCCTCTTCCTCCTCCTCCCACTCCATCAGAGACATAGTTTCAGATGAGCTCTGGCTAGCCGGCCTTAAAAAATCTTATTGAGCAAAAGGGTAGATTTCAGAAAACGAGTAGAATAAAAGTAATCCAATACAAACGGACGGGTGTGTACATGTATCAATGTCGGTTTGTAGAGTGCTTTTGATGATCAGGTATTGCATTATGGTAGGGGCTGGTATCCTTTTCTGACGACCCAGCGCCTCTGCATCTATCATCGACCAGCGAAAAGACGTATGTTTGTCTTCAGGTGAAAGGCATTGTTGTACACCAGCAGAAACCTGTTGGGAGCGTTGTTGCTGGCTGCCACAGGTGCCCGCCCGAGTGGAATCTCGGAGTCGAAGAAGTCTGCAAAAGCGAAAAAAGCTCTTTCCAGAAAGGGACAAATCGAGCTGCAAAGATCGATCTTTTTCCAAAACCAGCTCCTGCACCTGCACACGTGTTTATTGCTCACGGAACCATGTTCCCACCATGACGAGGCAGACAGTTCTGTGCGACACTTCCCATGCAATATAAAGGCCGTGAAGCGCAGCCGGCTGAGTCTATTACATTCGCCCGTTCGGTCGTGCTCAGCCTCCGACGCTCTCGATCCTTTCATTGTTCCTTCCCACCTTATTACACTGCTACTGCTACCCCTACTCCTACCACATCCTATCGACTATGTATGTGTCCATCCCAATAAACCCAACGAATCGTCGTTGCGCCCACGACCCGAGGGCTGTCTGATCGAATCCAGCGCAGAGACAGGCTCCTCCTTTTATATATGTTGATTCCATCGCCACAGATTCCCTATAGCTATAGCTACTATCTGGGTTGCCACACCGACATACCATCGTCTGCTGTGTACATATCAAACCACCGGTGTTCTTAGACTTATCATCCTCAGCCTGTGCTGCAGTCTTTCGCACAGGCAGGGAGGGATCCGTCGCGGATGTCGTGCTGGAGGGATTGTAATTAATAACGATATGTTAGACGAGATTCCACCATCGACAGTCTGTCTGTGATATTCTGATTGGGTATCGATTGCCATCAAGCTAGCTAGTTAGCTAGCCTGTGTGGATTCACGTTGTCGACACTTCATCCGAGGAACTTGTACTGATCCATACCTACATACATACATACTGGTTGTAGATCTTCTCGAAGAGAAGATCACGGTTAAGATTAGAAGATGTATGATATTGTCAATAACAGCAGTAGCCTGGCAGTGGTAGCGGCAGTAGCTGACCAGGAGAAAAACAATAAGAACAACCACGTTAGCATGGTGGCGGACAAATCCTTGTTGCAAGATCAAGACGTGTTGCTTCCAGGGTTTCGGTTTCATCCTACGGATGAGGAGTTGGTCGGATACTATCTGCGCCGCAAGATAATGCAGAAGTCTCTCGCTGTGGAGGTCATCACTCAGCTGGACATCTATAAGTTCGATCCATGGGATCTCCCAAGTGAGTTGCTAGAATTTTTAATGGATTATTGAGCTTCATATTGGGTTGTAAAGACTGCAGTTCGTGGAGCCTCCACGAGCACCGTGGTTTGCATGACCTCTGACCAAGTGTGAATGTTCTCTTCATGTGTGCAGAGATGGCCGTGGCCAAAGGCGAGAAGGAGTGGTACTTCTTCTGCCCTCGGGATCGAAAGTATCGCAATAGTGCAAGGCCGAACAGAGTCACCGGAGCCGGGTTTTGGAAGGCTACAGGAACAGATAGACACATTTATGCCTCTGGCGGTTCCAAAACCATCGGGCTCAAGAAGTCCCTCGTGTTTTACAAGGGAAGGGCTGCCAAGGGCGCAAAAACGGACTGGATGATGCATGAATTCAGGCTGCCTCCGACTACCGATTCTCCATCGTCTTCCAAAGCTCATCCCGAGGACAATGCTATTCAAAAGGTAAGTCCAGGCCTGCAAGCACCAATTCATCCCTCACCACTTCCCTCCATGTAGTCCCGCAGATCATGAAGCACAAGGACTGTGGACAGCACACCCGCTCGATACAGCCACAAGCTCGACCGCTAAGATTTTTCTCCTCGATCCAATCAGTTCTCAGGCATCCAAGATTTACCCCATGTTCTTATCCCGAGGACGTGAAAAATCTACATTCTTCCCGAAAAAAAATTGTCTACATTAAGAAGGAGAGGCCATGTTTCTCACAGTTCAAATGATCTAAGAGCTCGTTAAGTCCAATCGTGACAACGATTCCGACTTTGTCGAGCTTCATTGTTTCTGATGTAACATCGCCAGTGAGATCTAGGACCTTGAAAGGATTAGATTCGGCTGTGGGAACCTCAACCTGGAGTTGTTTTTTGTATTTTATTTGGTAATTAACTGGCCTTTGAGCTGCAGTCACAGTTGACCCGACCTGACCTGGCCTTGTCTCGTTTTGGTTTTGCAGGATGCGTGGGCTGTTTGCCGAATCTTTAAGAAAAGTACCCTTGCGCAGCAAAGGAGTGCAAATATGGTGTCCCAACTATGGCATCAAGAAATGTCACCCCCGACTGAAGAAATGGTGACGACTGAAGAGGTTGAGGAGCCACAAGCCGGACCCGGATTTGCTCAGTCCGAAAGGAACGAAATCTGCTCATCGAACGTGAATCTGGACCTCGATTCCAGCGAGGATAAGACTGAGAGCTCGTCCGAGGAGAGGTCGAGCATGTCGATACAGCCCAAGTATATCGTGGAGACTACCACCGTTAACCAGCAACAGCACCAGCATCAGCTGAAGAAGGAAGAGTCCACCGCCACATGGCCACTACTCCCCATGGACTGCCCAAAAGCCGCCAACAATTTCGATGGAAACCTCTGGGCGACTCCGTCTCTGGAGATGGTGAACGACTTTCTGGCACACGAGAACACGCTGAGAAGAGGAGCACTGGACTGCGTGAACAGCATCCTCAGCGTCCCCACATCTTACGGATCTCACGGCCAGTTCATCGACCTGGACCTGCTGGAGGAGTACGCGATCCAAGACCCCCAGTTCCATTCGGGTAGCTCGAACATGGGCCAGCTGCAGAAGCCTCGGACCAGCAGCAGCAGCAGCAGCAGCAACGGCACCAACCACTACGTCGGCCATATGCAGCCCCTGAACCGCAAGAAGCTAACGCTGCAGATCCCGTCGTACCCTTGTGCAATGCAGCCGTGGGATAGTTTGTCCCCAATCTACGACCTTCCCAGCAGCCAGCTCGAGTGCATGTGACCATCTCCATCACCACGTAACGTCGATCGGTACCTAGCCAGGAGGAGGTGATGCACAGATGTTCGAGTACATATCCACAGACACACAGATTCTTCCTTTTGTCGTGTATATATATCTACATCCCAAGGTTGTAGCTAGCTCGCTCGCTCGCCCACAGGCACGCACGCATGCACAATATAGGTGTATAAAGAAAATCCATCTTAATTATTATTTACGGGCATCACATACGTCCGAAATAAACAGCTGCACGAGTTTAGCTTTGATCTGGCGAGGAGTAGGTTCAGCTGCAGACGACACTCACTTGTACAGCAGAGTTAGACTTGTGTGAAGCGTTGTGTGTCGTTCTGTGCTCTAGACATATATGAGGGCAGAATCGTCATACGGATGAGTTGAATACGGGATCTTTGTGAGTAGGAAGTGCGCAGATGATTTTCTGGCAATCAAATACGTTTGAGCTTACCATTCTTAGTCATCTGTACAATCATAGTGCATAGTGAGTTCACTCGACGTCATCTGCTTCGTTTCAGTTTGATCGTTAATTTGGTTTGTGTACGGGATACGTGGTGGATGTTCATGGCTTTGCAAGCCCTTCCACGATTTCAATAAAGAAAGCTAATGAATTCAACTTGTTCACGAGCGTCTCCTTTGCTGCCATGGACTGTCAGAAAATCCAGCAGTGCCGCCTGCGTGATCCGCAGCCTCTCTTCTCCAGTTCCTGGTGTCTGATCGCCACAGCCTAAATTTGCCTGCATTTGATGATTCTATGGACGTCTTCAATCCCCAAACCCTCTTGATGATATTTGCCAAGTAGCACTGATCTCGTTCAACTGCTTTCGAAACTTGCATGTTAAGAGACATGAACGTTTTTGCGGTTTATATGATCTTGGTCTGACACAAGGTTCAGTTAGATCTAGTGCATAGATCATCTCGAACTTTCTGTTCAATGACATGAAACTAGCCGGAAAATGATAAACTTTTAAGCTAGACTAGCTATGGCTATACTACAACGCAAGGTTACGTTATCGAAGCTAACTCATAGTCTATGATGATTGTGTAGCACTAGGTCAGTCAATTCGCTAGCTGCTGGAGTCTATGCACAAGGCAGGTTTTTTTAAAAGCGATTATTTGTAGGTTGGATTGAACTGCTCTTCCATTATTGAATCACTATCTGCTGAAAGTTCGGATAACTTCCCGACAATTAAAGGATATATAGTCATATTTAAGTTCCAATACTTGAAAGCAATGCATGCAGACGGCTCTGAGCACTGACCGTTCATAAGAAAATGAAGAATGTGGCACGAAAACATCTGTTGCATGTCTGAGTTACAAGGGCTTTCAGAGATCTGCTGATTTAGCCGGCTCAGTATCACGGTCCAAACATAGCCCGCCCATGTGGCAAATTTTCTGAAAGACGAACTTTGAAGGAAGGAGGTGTAGTACTTCTTACACCATATTTCTCGAGCTGTACGCATGGAGGAGAACACGGGAAGCTTGTGATTGAGAGATAAGGAGAACACCTGATTACTGCATGTGTCTGAGCTACATCGCGTTCTTTCATAGGGAGAAACCAATTAAGTATGTCGATTACAAGCAAACGATAACCTAGCATCGAGCAGATGATTGTCTGCGCTGGAAGTTCGATAGCAACTGAAAGGTCTTCTATCGCATGGTCTGCGAAAAGGAGAGCTAGGTCCTGCACAAATCTCTGAGCAATGCTTCATATCAATCTTCCAGCTCTCAGAGCTTGGTGTGTGTTTGAGCTTGGGACTGATGCCCGGAATCAGCATCCTCTTTGTCTCCAGTCTTCGATTCTGCTCGACTCGGAGAAGCAAACAGACTAAATGTTCGAGCTTGATTAAAATTATGAGTACGGCATAAAAGGATAATACCAATTAAAGAGCACTGTCTTCCTACTAACTTTTAAAGGTTAAATCTGAATCAGTTTTTGGAGATCGAACTTTACTTCTGGTAGATCTTCTACACTGAAATGACTATGCAATGAAGAATCTTTCTGTTAAGTCAAATCTCGTTATCAACTGTCACAGAGCACGGTCCTCGGGAAACGCGTTTATCACTGAACACGTTGTAACCCTTTTTACGTTTTGCAGCCGTTCAGAGAAGAGTAGACGAAGATAGACTAAATTCCCAATTTACAGAGTATACACAGATACTGCAGATCTGTGATCGTTCTGTGCTGACGAAGAATTACACTTCCTTTTCCACTGTCAATTTAAGATAACTGCAAATTAAGATACGTTTCAATTAGACGTTGATAAAAAATTGTTTTCTGATTATCTGACCTTCCTGATTTTCATACCTGCAATACAAATATTTGATCATATGAAAATTTTCTTTCTTTGGATCTGAAGCTGCGAGTTATTGCTCTGATGTGCTTTTAGTCTCTGTACGGTTTTTATTGGATTATGATATCTCACTCATTCTGTGATTTTGATCTGAAAAAACTCAGATACTCAGATCCCAGATGGCTTAATCGAAGGGAATCGTGTATCATGCTCAAGTGAAATGCCGACGCTGAAAGACAAGAGGGTCTGGCATACGCGCTCGATGAACACGCAGTGCACGTGGAAGTCCTGAGGATGACGTTCCAGTCACTTCAAGGAAGCCCCACTACTTCATAATCGTTCGGTGGATATGAACCAAAAAAGGCGAGGACCACGGAGCATCATCATATAGTGTTACATCTATCCACGCAGGTAGAGTACGCCTTCTAAAATTCGATACTGAGGATTTTAAGTTTTGCGGATTATAATCGGAGAGTCGATTTCAGATGAATACAAGGAGATACCGGATCTGATTAAACTCTGGCCTAGCACTGGATCTTGACATGTAAAAAATGGAACATATCATTCAAGACCTTGACGATCTTCGACAAAGAGACAGATCGATCTACTAGGTTATAGGAGAAAAATGATGGAGGAAAATAACATGATAACATAATTATAGAACGAATGAGTAGAATTTCCTGTCTGGATTCAAAATCCCAAATTCCAAATCTGGGACAAGCGTCGAAGCTTCGCTCAAACCCGAAAAAGAGTTGTTTCACCACATACATATTGTTGTCAAATTCAAATTCCCACAGGCTCATTCCAGGAGTGTGAAGGTCCTTACGATCCGAAACGTACTTCATTCTATCTCGACTTCCGGAGAGGAGGCTAAACATTCTTCCCTCATCTGACTGCCTGACTGTCTGACTGACGTACATCAACATCTATACATATCATATGTGGATTCTTTCCATCTCATGTCACTTCTGCAGAAACACAAATCCAGTCATCATTCTCACTCAGGCCTAGAAAGTCTGAATTGCATGTCCGAGAATCTCTCACAGACCGTTCAGAAGGTCTGAATTGCATGTCCGAGAATCTCTCACAGACCGTTCAGAAGGTCTGCGTTTCTGTGAGTCCATGTGTTCTTAGAATCTAGAGCCGAGGTTAGTACGGAGTCTACGGGCACCCAGGTCTCGATAATGATTTAATCTCAAGCTTGAACTCAACTCAGCAGGTGAAGCTTGTGCATGACATCGTGCCCACGGCTCGGGTACGCGAGTTCATAGCCCACCCAGATATTGATTTTCTCACGGTGTGAGACCTTTGACGGCGATATGAAAGTTCTGCATCTAGAAAGCCGGCTGAAAGTTGGACATCCGGGTGTAACATAATTTGTTCATTTATATAATAACAACCATGTTAATTTCCTGGTCGATGCCGTTTAGAGCTGGGTAAGCATCCTAGAAACCTTTTTCCTCGTGCATTTGCGGAAGCTACTTTATCTTGCCCAGAGCATAAATCCGGCAGTTTGTTCTATTTTCCCTAGGCATCTGACACGGATTGTTTTCTCTCCGCCCATATCGAGCCGAATTTTCTCCTTTCGTCCCGTTTCCTGGCCATTTTTTTTTGCATGGCCTCGCCAATGTACGCACAGCACCTTGCAGCATATAAGTGTCCCAGTGCATGTACCTTGAGTACACCTGACCATGTCAGCAAGCAATTATGAAAGTCCAACACTGAAATGTTTTCTTCCGAGAAGAGTAATCACTACCTACACGGTTGAGAAACATTGTAGGTAGTAATCAAGCTGGACGGTTTCTAGGCCTAATTTTTAAACAGCAAAGAGGGTTAATCAATCGGCCTTCTTCCAGTTCTTTTTCTCCAGGCGCTCTACGTGCCTATGGTAGGCAAAGGCACCTTCTTGTACCTCATAGTACCGATACCTGGCCTTTTTTCTGCAAGTCCCGGGACTGCACTCTCGGAATCGATTTTTCCAAAGCAGTCGGTTGGAATGCTGAAGGTGCCCGTTCCGCACTGTACCAGTCAGGTGTCTTTTGCTGCTACCCTTCAGAGTCTCGAGTACTGTCTACTGGTGCTGATGTCATTCCCGTCTCCAAATCCACACTGAGCTCCAGTTGTCCCTTTTGTCTTCTCCTCGTCAATGACCTTTCTCTTTTCTGTTTTAGAGAGTTCCTTTCTCTTAAATTAGTGCCTTTTTCCTCCCCTTCAGCTATTCTTGTCCCATTGCCAATTATCCGTACTTCCTTTGAGGCCTTGATGTATGGTACACTCCTGTGGTGCACTTTTCTCCCATTATTTCTGGCTTGCCACAAAAGCCCTCGAGTGTTGTCCACCTCCACATCGTGCAAAGACCAATGACTGCCACGGAGCGAGAAGAAGACAGATACGGTCTGGCTTATCATTTCGTTTGATTTCAGTCACTTTGAAGATTCACTCGCAAGTCTTTTTCGTACAAAACTTTTCACAAAATCGATCGCATAAAACAGCAAAACTTGAACTAGATCACAGCATTCGAGAGGAAAGATACCTCATCATATGACTGACTGATTCTGGGTGATATCCTGGAACGCCCAATATAAAATTGGAAAATAAAGTTACAGTTCTTATGTATTACGAAGTCGAACCATACTCGTGGGAGGATGAGTGGTGCATATCCCAGCAGAGCAGATCAGAACTCACGAACATTGAGTCGAATCGTACGCTCGGAGAATGGTAGCCGGATATTCAGAAGTTCAATCTCACGTGAAACCTGGGAAACAGGCTGCTCTGCTGATGACACACTGCTTACCTACTGAGACAAAGAGAAGGATGAACGGGATGAATTCAGTGCTCCATGCCCTCAAGAGGCCAGCTGTAGCGGTTTACATTTTACAAAACAAGCAATCCGATCAAGCCCGAGTAGATCGCAAACACGTGGGCAGAGTGAAGCATAGTTGTCAACAAATTCAAGTATTTCCTCAGCACGCTGATCAGTGTTTAGCAGAAAATGCCAAAGTCCATACCTGATACAAATAAGCCATTGATATCTAAGCTAATCCTTTGGCTATATATATTGCTCTTCAGCTAGCATACGTGCTAGCTAGGATCTGAAACTGAATGGCTCGGGCTCAAATGAATTTTAAGAAGATGCAGGGTACTCTGATGTGCGCATACACTTAACACTCTCGTCAACTGCATTCCATATTCTATAATTTGCCTTGACTACTTTCGTTATCAGGAGTGTCAAAGCTCCAGTGCTGTGCGCATACACTTAACACTCTCGTCAACTGCATTCCATATTCTATAA